CCTCCACCCCCCTTGCAGTCCCCGTCCCCAACTCGGACCAGGCCACCTCCACCAAGACCCCCATCCCCATTGACGCCTCCGCCAAGATCGCCGCCGACGTGGCAGACCCCGCCCCCGGCCCCGGCGCGGGCGAGATCCGCGACGCGGCCGCGCAGGAGCCTGACTCCACCGGCCGCGAGAACGTGGTCCCGGGCGCTGACGAGGGCGGCTCCGGCGGCGGCAAGGCGGTGAGTGGGTTGATTGTGGGGGCTGGTTTTGTCGGCTTATTCTGTGTGCGCTCGTTTCGCAAGCCTGCAGTCTGCGTGGGTTCACTTCGCCAGCCGATGCACGGATGTTGCTGGCTCACCTCACGCCTCTGTTTGCCAAATGTTTCAGCGCATGCCAGTGCATTGCATTGCATCTTATGCTCTTCAGCACTTCCCTTGAGCATCATTCCGCACCTCTGCTCAACCTTGTCTCTCTGCTTCATCTTACACTATCGCAGAGCGAGGTGGAGCAGCCAGGCGTGCGCCTGAGCGCGCTGCCGTCCGAGGACCGCTTCACGGCCGCCGCGCTGTTTGGCGGCAGCAGCCCCGCCAAGAGTGTCGAGGCCAAGACAGCTGGTGGGTGCGTAGCCTCCTGGCTTTTTTTGTGCAGGCCAGGGGTTTTGTTTGTGCAGGTCAGGGTTTTGACTTGTGTGAGTTGTGGGAGACAGGGGGTTACATCGATGATGAGGCGAGTCCTCTACCGCCCCGGACCTGAATCAAATATGTCTGTCGTCTATCGCTTTAGGTTATGTTATTCAGCATTTGCGGGCATGGCTGTACTTCTGATGCAGTTCAGCTCTCACCGCTTTTGATATTAATTCTCTCTTACACTGACACGGTCATGCGGTCAACCCCTCACCCCACGATAGAGGTCACCAGTGAGGTGGAAGGCTCCCTCGATGCCCTCCGCGCCCGCGCGCGCGACATCACTGGCGGCCGCCCCGCCGGTGAGTTCTACGAGACGACCTCTGCCTCCTTCCAGAAGGCGCAAGACGACGCCGCCGGCGCCGCCAAGGACGCTGCCTCCAAGGCGTCCAGCGGCGCGGGCGACGTGAAGGCGCGCCTGGGCGCGGCGGCCGACAAGATTGGCGACAAGGCGTCCGGCGCGGCTGATGTCGTGAAGGACGCGGCCAAGGGCGCGCTGGGTGACACGCAGCGCGCCGCCGGCCGCGCTAGTGACAAGGTTCGTGATGTTGCCTTCGCCGGCTTCGGCGGCGGCGACCAGTCCGGCATTGCGGAGCCTGACAAGCTGGGGGAGATTGCCAGGGGCACTCCGACCGACGCGGCGCCGGCGGGCGACAGGCCGGCCGGCATCGGCCAGGGCGTGCGCGGCGGTGTCAACCTCGCGCCCAAGGCGAGCGAGAAGGTTACCGGCCCGACCGCGGGCGGGGACCTGCGCGGCAGCATCAACGCCGCGGCGAGCAAGGTGGTGGACGCGGCGCAGGGCGTGCGCGACGGCTCGGGCGCTGTGGTTGAGCGCCTCGACGCGTCGTCTGCCGGCAAGGACGTGCGTGAGAATGTGAAGGGCGCCGCAGACAAGGTCAAGGATGTTATCAGGGGTGTGAGCGTCCTGCCCTCCGGCGGCGCCGGCGCCGCCAACCCCAGCGCCAAGGACGCCCGCACGGCCGCCGTCGATGCCGCCAGCGGTGCCGGCGACAGCGCGAAGGGCGCGCTGGAGTCGGTGACGCGCGCCGTCGGCGGCGCCGGGGACAGGGTCAAGGGGGCTGCTTCTGAGGGCAACAGCATTGCAGAGCAGGCCGCCAAGACCAGCACTCGTGTCGAGGGCATCCTGCAGCGCGCGGCCGACAACGTGCGCGAGGGGCGCACCGGCATCGAGGGTGTCACCAAGTAAAGTGTGTCAGGGGACCTGGCCAAGCTTGTGTGTGTAGACAGTATGCGGCTGGCTGTGGGAGAATTGCAAAGGCGAGGCAGTGGGTTGATGGGTAGTGTTTGTACTGCCGTCTTCCCGCTGGTCTCGGGCGTGTGCAGCTGTACACAGGGCCACTCATACCATCAGGCCTCATGAATTTTGCTGATTGCAGGCGGTGGTGCAATTGACCTGCCGCGAACTTGCAATGCGGGAGGCAGTCCTCGGCACACTTTTTGCCTGGGCTGTGAGTTGAGCAACGGAACGCAGTGGGATGTGGTGGTTTTCTGCTGTTGGTGCCATCACAAGATTCCAAACCTGCTACACTTTTGAGCGGCGGGGATGGGGGTTGGTGCGTGGTGCATGTACTGTAGAGTTGGTGCCTCTGCTGATGTGTCCTGCATGCGGTGCATACCATCAAACCCATCCACACAGATGATCTCATCCACCGACCGGCAGGAAGCCCTTCAATGCGGCATGCAGTTTTGAGTGCAAACACAACATCCTTGCAATGCACTGCAACAGTTGCAATCGGCTGAAAAGGTTGCCTATGCGTGCGGGAGTGTAATTGATGCTCCTGACTCATATAGGTTGGATAAAGCTATGCAGATGTGGCACAGAAACAGTAATCAATGTGGTTAGACTTCTGTGGCATGCACTAGTCGACGCTGTGCAGAGTGCACAAATTTGGTCAGTTGAAATGATGGGTAACAGGTACAAGTTAGGTAAGCTGAACTAAATGTTTAGCTCATGAATTAAAGATAGATAAGTTACTCATACCATAGTATCACTGCCATCGGCCTCGCACTGCCATCGGCCTCGCGCTCATCAGAGCGGACCTCCTCA